AGTCTAATTTTTTTACACCTTGTACACACACACACATACACACACACACACGCGCGCGCGCGCGTTGTAAGTTGGAATATTTTTTTTTAACTCTATATTAGGTATCAGAACTGTGTTAATAATTGTGTGTAGGTAGAGTGCATAAAATTAAATAGGAAAAATTCTGTTTTAAAAATTTCATAATAGTTATTAAAGAATTAATTAAATAATTCCAGCGAATTATTAGAGCGTAGAAAGCGAACGGAATAAGACGAATACCACAGACACGACCTCAAGATAGATGTCTCGATTTTGTTAACAGTCACGTGTGTGTGTGTGGCAACAGAGTGGACAATCACGTGACAACAGAGATATATTATCCTACATGTTTTACATTTCCACAGTTCTACTATTGCCAAAAGATTATCCATAGATTCCAGAATGTGTTTCGTCTTACTATTACTTGCGCAGACTTATTTACTTATATTCTTTAATTAGTTTCTTTAATTCTTTAATAACTATTACGGAAAAATTACAAAAATAGTAAAGAATTTTATTGTTTACACACACACGCACACATGCACACACACGCGCACGCGCACACACACATATACACAGTTGAATATACTTTACCTGCACACGAGTATTGGTACGGTAATTGCAGATATTCTGTATGTCCAAAGGACATCATGAAACTATAAAAAGTTTGTCCTTACTGTTAATATAAAATTTTTTTCGTAAAAAGACTTCGTCCATTCTTATATTGACAGCTACATTGAATATCTTACTTTTCTAAGAAACTTTATACATCAGTATATAAAATATTTGGAGATAATTAAATTAGAAAGATAATTAAAGTAGAAAGAGTTTTATATAAAGAGCAAATAAGAAGCACTATATAAAAATAAAAAATTATAGATTTGTATAATAAAATTGTAAATATATCACTAACAATTGTATTTTGAGACTTATAAAACCATTTATTTATTCTTATATAGATTCTGTGACACAGATAAAAATAAAGTCTTCCTTATTAATTTTCTTTTAACACGTTCCATACTGCGTTAATTTTACATTCCACGCGCGTTATTTAAATTATTTAAAAATAAAAAATATTTATATTTTGCTTTATAATACATTTTGTACCCTTTTTTCTTAATAATCAAATTTTTTATATTTTTGTAAGTATTATAAAACACACCTTATAAACATATACAAGATCATATACAAGAAACATACAAGTTTATAAACGCATGTATAAGTTTGGCAACGTGGATTATAGGTCATCTGCGCAGTATGGAACGTATTAATAAATGTTTTTTGCAAACATTCTACATATTTGTTTTGCACAATAGCTCTCACTTATCCCTTTTTTTCTGAGCTCGTTTATTACCACAACGTTGTAAAATTTCAATGATAGGTTGTTTATGTTGAAATATACCACCAAGCTGCAAGCGTGCTTCATTCATGCCTTCGCTGACTAAAGTACTGCGTTGTAAATTTCCTTTAATCAAGTCATTCACACGCTCGAGTCCATCAATGTGTCTATTTTTAGAAGCTTGCTGCGACTCAAGCAGCATTAGCGTCATTTTTAATTTTTCGTGTACCTAAATGAATAAAATAATTATAAAGCGAATTGTATAATTGAAATGAGTTATAGCTTCTATTTCATTGAAAATGTGTGGAAAACATTAGAAAAGTTAAATGTTGCAACAAATAGTCATTTCTTGATAGTTTTATCTTAACGCAATATATAATCTTTATGCAATATGGAATAAGGAGAATTGTATAAAACAGAATTTAATACAAGCGATGCACTTTGCGGTCGATTTTCGGGAGGCTCTGTCTTGTGTTATTTCTCTAATTTTGTCGCACGCAGCCTACGAGTAGCTCGAGTTTCAGAAGTATGGTCTACGAGCTGCGAGATCCGTAAAAGGGAGACAAATAAGAAGACTTGTGGATCTTTTTTTAAAGATACAATATCTTATTATTATAATTATATATTTATTATTAAATATTATAACACTGTTATAATTGAATATTTGTTTTTAATAGTTTTCTACGTTATCCATACGCGATACTATTGCTGACATGTTTTTTTAAAGGGATATCCCCGATAAGCTTAACAGAAATAGTACTACTAAATAATACTTTATAGGTAACATGGAAAACTACTGAAAAAAAATATTCACAATTAAAATAAAAATTTGATAAGATATATTGCATTTATAAAAAAGATTCATAAATCTTCTTATTTTTCTTCCTTCTTCAGGTTCCATAGCACAATATGCGAAAACTTTAAGTTTGAGCGACTTGTAAACTGCGATTGAGGTGACAAGGCAAAGGGAAAAACGCAAGGCGGGGCCTCCCAAAAAATGCATCGCTTGCCAAGCTCTAATATAAAAAAATATAACTTCGTTTAAAAATTCCAAATACATATTTTTTGTTGAGTTCTATATTTTCATTTGTGAAAAAATGAATTCATAGAAAAATAGATATTATTATATTGTTCAATTTTTGTTCTTCTGTTTTAATTTCCCTATTTGCAAGAAAACACTACAATTCGTTTCCACTGTACAACTCATCCCCCCCCCCCC